TGCAACAATTTTAGATGTCAACATTTCAGTTGATGATACATTCTCACCAGTCATGCAGGAATTAAGGAAGGGTGAGACGTGAAATCAGGTTTGCTTAAGCTTGTTAGAATAAGTGGATGTAAAGCCATCTGGTCGAGGAGATTTGGCAAATTTTACATTTCAATAGTACTATCAGTCTCTTCCAAAGAGACATCGGCATTTTAAGAGGCCAAAGAACGTAAAACGAAAATGTGTAGTTTAGTGTTAAGGCATCAGAGACGATTCAAAGATCCTGAAGCGTTTACAGAGTGATCTTCTGAGGAAGTAGACATCTAATCTTCTGCAGGGAAGTGAATTTGTAAAAGGCAGAACATGGAGTTTTCTAATTAAAGTAAGGAGTAGGGGAAAAGGCTCAGTTCAGAGAGGGAGTTCAAGGAAATGAAAGATCCACAAGCAGAGTGATCACATATTATGGAAAAGAAACGTTAAGTCCAACCAGTACTTAATGCCCTTTATCCATAGAAGATTGGTGGGATCAGGAAGATACATAGAGAAGTTTCAATTATGCTAAATGGCTATAACAGTTATCAACATATTTGACCGAATCGTGGGAAGTAGGGGGGAGTACAATCCTTAAAATATAGAGGACATAAGGAAAACCACAATCAAGGGAAAAAAACATGATTGGTCCACTTTAGACCAAAACAAATAATGTTAATGCAGCTTATTTGGTGATTTTAATTTTTTGTTGTTGCAATTTCCAGAGAAGTGACTTTTTTTTCTCTGGATTATTTGGGGTTATCTGTAATGAGGCAATCCATGGTTAAACTACGGCAATAGAGTTCCAGTGACTAATTTAAAAAGAATCTCTGCGCTATCTAATTTAATGCTCTTTTTTTTTCCTGTCCAAGTTCAAAAGCCATCCCTTGGGCTTAGTTTCTGTATCATAATAACCAGCAGTCTATGTGGCATATCAAATGCTCACACAGATTCAAAATAATGCATATACAGCAATGCTACTTTTATCTACGCTTCTTAATTATAGCGCGAATGTCATCTGATGTGCATTGATCTTACTCATGTTTGTAAGGGAATTATTATTCAAATAAATGCACTGAGTGTAATACACACAAGGCTTTTCTTCTTTGTGTTGTTATACAAAGCTTTCTGTACAATACGAAAACACAGGATCACAGGTGTACATCTGTGACTACAATGCTAAGGTATAAAGTATATTCATAGCTCTCAGACATCCACAGATCCCAGACAGGAAGATCTGCGAAACACTGACTCTGTAACAGAAATCCCTGTATTTAGACACACAGTCTTATTCACTACTTATTCACTACTCTTAAAAATTCTCCAAATCAGCTGAAGTCATCAATTGGCTATTTTAGCGTCAGTTTTGCAAGTTTGCTAAAATTCAAAGTTTACTGATTAACCCTGTGATATAACCAACATGTATATCTAAGTTTATTAAGGGTTACAAAGTATGCTGACTACCAACAATATGGTAGAGCGATCATGTTGGGCACACAGTAGGCGAATAGGCTTTGACTATATATACATACACGCCATCCGGCCTGTGAACAGTAAACAGCAGGCACATCGGGAGGATGCAGATCTCACCTGAACGCTACCTAAGAGTTACATACTAAATCTGCTTAATGACCACACTTAAGATTACCATATGTCATAGCCGCTAACAACTTTAACATTAGTAATGGTGGATGTATAACGCAGCGGAAAGTCTTTGCCTAGCAACTACCTAACGAGGGTGGCACAGGGCACAGGGAACTGGTAAAGGTGTATGCTGTCAATTAAAGAACCGGTATTTTCATTGCTAAGCCTATACTACGCCCGATTCACTCGGGGCTGTGGCGCAGACCAGATGCAAAGAAACTGTAGACGCCCCATGATGTTGTACATGCCACATGGGCCAAATACAGGAACCATGAATAGAATTGTATCTTCATTAAAGGGACACTGTAGTCACTATAAGCATTTCATCTCTCTGAATTAGTTATAGTGCCTGGAGTGCCCTGGCACTGTCCCTCCATTCACTATTGCACCATGTTCATGCAGTATGCCACAAAATAAGAGTCCCTGGACACCCAGAGTCCGGCCCCTTCAGAATGTGTAGCTAAGGCAGAGATTACACACTTCCTTGTTGTCATACCCATTCATACCGTCAGTTGGAACTCTGACAGGCTAAAAGCAGTCAGCTGACACTCTCAGCCAATCACAGATGCCTATTGTTGCTCAGGCTAATACTTCCTTATTAGCCAAAGCAGCACAGAGGGGATGGATTGCCAGGGACTCTTGTTTAGCATTAAAACATTAAAAGTTTAAAAACTGTTTAATGCTGAAAGAAATGATGGTACCAGAGGTCTCCAGACACTATAACCAGTTTAATGAGATGAAGCAGATACAGTGCCTACGGTGTCCCTTTAAGCAAGAAAATTAGACTAATACAAACAAGTTGTTTATATGACCCATTGTATAACCAGATTCATGTTGAATGTGTATATATAAGTGTGGATGCCTGCTTTGTCTCAATGCAAATTTGTCTGCAACTTAAGATGTACCATTACGACAATGCTTATACTACTACTAACTTGTCAAACGAAAAATAAAGATTGTAAAAAAAAAAAGTATGCTGGGGTTTATAAGAATATGTGTCTGTATTTGCATCAGTATTGCACAGCCATGTTACAGTGCTGCCGTCCCCTACCTATGTGTACCTTAAGTTAAAAAGTACATAGGGGTCCAGAAGAATGCCCCTTTCTACCTTTTTAGAGATGTTACCTCTAAGTGAAAAGCAGCAAGGGGAATTGTTTGTGTAGGACTCGCCTATGAAGTTTGCTTTGATGGGATAGGTGAGCTTACACCTTAATGGCCACAACAGTGGAACTTAAAACCTCCTGTTATTTCAATGTGCATAGGGACCTGAGATGCGCAGGTAACTTTATTTTTGTTCTAAGTATTTCTAAGTTGTAGATTTAACCTAGTGGACATCAGTCATAATGAATCTAAATGACCCTTTATTGTATACTAATGGATTTAAAATCTTTGTTGCTTTCTCTATAGAATGTAGGCAAGATGTTACACGTTGTGATAAGGTGAATGGTGTTGTGAGGGAGTTTAAATTTCCACTAAATTGTTCAGAGAGGCATATGACATTTAACCCCAGGGGGAGTATGTGTTGTATGTAACATAAATTAATGTTTAAATGTGGGCCCCTGGGGTGGAGTATTCGTAGAGTAGGGTGGGCCGGTGCTCCACTCCTCAGTTTACAAGTAACTGGGAGAAATAAGGTCCAGACCAGGGTTTTGGATTGTCTCCAACCCATTGCTCAGCTGCAGAAGGGGAAATACAACCCTCCCTGGTAGACAGGTAGAGGAGACTTTTAATTTCTCCTTAGAGGGCTGGAAGCAGGACGCAGACTGAGCACTGGAGTGCAGAGAGTTGACAAGACACTAGGTTGGTGAAACCTGTATTGAGAGATAGGGAATTTAATGTTAGTAAGCGCTCAGATGAGCTAGGATTTTGTTTGCAGGGATTTCTGTTACATTATTGTTTCTTTCATTTGCTGCTGTCTCCGTGGTGAATTTTTAGTAACAAAGTGCATGGATTTGTGTTAATTCAAAAGACTGTGCATGTTTATACCCTAGAGGACCATGCTATTTGCAATACAGGATCACAACGTTTAGACTGTATAGTTCTGATGTGAATTATTTACACCAAGCATGTAAAACTCGCGGCCCACAATGGACATCTTTGCAGCCCAGCGAGCCGCAAGTGGTTGCTTAGTGTGTTATAGCAGAGTAGGCACCTGCCTTCTCCACATTGCAGGTACCTACGCTGCTGAAAGCTACCCAGCCGGGGAGCAGAGGGAGCTCAGCCTTCCTGCTCCCTCGCGTGCCGTCTGTAGTGATGCCGGTTGCCTGAATATGACGTCATATTCCGGCGCCCGGCATTACTAAACTGTGCGCGAGAGAGCAGTGAAGAACAGGAAGGCTGAGCTCTGGATAGAAGAGGGCCCACACCAGCTCCCAAAGGTAGGGAGCAATGAATAAAATGATGTGAGTGCAAGAATGTGTAAATGGGTGTGTGTGTGTGTCTGTCAGTATGTGAGTGTCTGTCAGTGTGTGTGTGTGTGTGTGTGTGTTGGTCATTGTTGCATTGTCTGTGACCGGACAGTGGAGTCCCTAAAGGTGCACGGAGGCACACAACGCCAGGTCACATTCCGACATGACATTGACGTGCTCCACCTTCACAGGGTTTCAAGAAGTAGCAGGTGGATCAGATTTGGCACAGGGTGTGGATGGTGCAATTTGGGATTTACCAGAGGCTGGACTCCGGAGTCGCATACTGGCAGTGGCAATTTGAGTGGAATCTGCTTGTTGGCTAGAGGGGGGTACTGGGATTTAGTACATGGGGGGGAGGGGAGGGGTGGACTGGGATTTAGCAGAGGGGGTGCTGGGATTTAGTACATGGGGGGACCAAGATTTAGTAGATGGTGGGTGCTGAGATTTAGTATATGGGGGGACCAAGATTTAGTAGAAGGTGGGTGCTGTGGTTTAGTAGAGGGGGAAGCTTGAGTTTTTTTATACTGTACTTTTCTAAATAAACCTATGTATCAATGAAAATTTTAATTGTTTTTTTTTGCGGCCCACATAAACTTAAACCTTGTTTATTTGGCCCGTGCTAGACTTTGAGTTTGACATGCTTGATTTCCACAGTGTTGTCAAAAGCAATAATAATTGTCTGTTGGCTCTAGCCTTGAGTTGTGTCTTGTATGTCCACGTAGAATATTACATCTGATTTAAGTGCAAATTTACTAACATAATTACATACTAAAAACTGGAATGTTTGAAATTCATACCCCACCCCTGCTTCAAGGGACACGTCTAACAATTTATTATTATTTACGAAGTTGAAATTTGGGCAAAAAGGAAGAAAGAAAAGAGCATTCCTACGAATCAAAAAAGGTAGGCCAATTAAACATACAGTGACATATTTATTAAAAAAACGAAAACATAATGAAATTTGCATGTCGCATAAGAACAATTATCTCAGCACAGAAAAAGATCAACTGGATTCTGACAGGTATTTCTTTAATAAGAGTATCAACATGTAGTTTCTAAAGTGACATCCCCAGAAAAGTACCAAGTGTTTATCTTGCAAAATTTGTCTAAAGAATTTGTTAAATAAAAGTTTACAATCAGATGTGGGATTGGGGTGGCGCTAACATTGTGCCCATATTTGTCAACTTGTGTACTTGGTGTGAGGAGTTCCACATCTACGGAAATACAATGGGTTATGCTTTTTTGGTTCTTTTATTTTGTTTAATAAACAGTTTATAGCTTCCCTGCTGTTTGTATCGGATAGTACTTTTTAGGAGAGAATTATCCATCAATGACATGTATCCAGCATGGGAATATATTTTTGGATTCAATAAATAGAGTTAATTATACATGAGCAGAATACCTGTTGATCAATTCCCACATTCAATCCCAAGATTGTTTTGGTTTTAACCAAATTCTGAAGGTCTGGAAAGGACAGGGAAGGGGGTGGGTGGAGTGGAGGTGACAGCAGATGCCAAACATGCACAGAACGGACACATTCTTATTCTGGGCAGGCTATGGACGCCCCAATGATACTGTCGGAGGTGGAGTTAACAATAATAAAAATAATTATCAAAAGAAAAAAAAAAAACTGTCTAGCAACCTCTTTACTTTGCCTCCTAAAGGCACACTCCAGACCCTTAGAGCACTTGATCTTGCAGAAAAGCTGTATGTGTGAAGATTGTGTCCTCTTTTTTCATTTTGAAAAAGCGCAGATTTCAATAGAAATTGAAACTTTTATAAATTATACTGGTTACACCCCACTGGCTTTTCACGCAGCAACAGGTCCTATTCCTTCCTGGTTGGGTCATCTTATTTGCACTGAACTTAAAAAGCAGCAACTACCCAGAGCACCTGCCTTACAAAGCGTTCTCATTGAGCTGCACTGGGAAGTCTGTGATTGGTCAGTCACAGAAAGTCTGGGTGGGGATAGAAGAGAAGAGATTGCAAAGGCTGCGGACAGGAGAACTACAGTGTTTGCAAGCTGTTTATAGATATAGCTTCAATGAAAACATGCATACCGTATATACTCGAGTATAAGATGAGTTTTTCGGCACATTTTTTGTGCTGAAAAAGCCCCACACTTGTCTTATACTTGAGTCAGTGTCTGTATTATGGCAACTTACATTACCATAATACAGACCAGGACCGCCGGGCTCATTACAGAGCCGCGGCCGTCAGAGCATCGCCACAGGTTACCCTGGCAACGCTCCGCGCAGCACGCAGACCGCGAGACTTACAGTGGAGCTGAACGGCACAGAGGAGAAGAGAGCTGAAAGGAGCTGCTGTAAAGGTAAGTAACAGCTTGCTCCCAGCCCCCCTCCTGCACAGCCCATCAGGGAACAATATAGACAACCAGGGAACAATATAGAACCCCCTCCCTGGCCAGGTATCAAACAGGGAGGGGGGACGAAAAAATAAAGTAAACATTTTAATAATAATAAAATTAAAATGTCATAATATTAAAATAAAAATAACATTTAATATTAAAATAATAATAATACAAAAATAATAATGCCCACCCCCCACCAAAGTTACACACTCTGCATCACATATACAAACACACTCTGCATTATATACACACACACACACTGCATTCATTATATACACACACTACACAAACACACACTGCATTCATTATATACACACACTGTAAATAAATATTCAATTAATATAATTTTTTGGGGATCTAATTTTTTTTTAGAAATTTACCAGTAGCTGCTGCATTTCCCACCCTAGTCTTATACTCGAGTCAATAAGTTTTCCCAGTTTTTTGGGGTAAAATTAGGGGCCTCGACTTATATTCGGATCGACTTATACTTGAATATATACGGTAATTAAATGCATGGAAGGTTTCATCCGGAGTATAGCTACTAAACAGTGATTCTTTTTTTATTTGGGCAGTGGAGTGTCCCTTTAATAACAACCACAAATCTAACTTGGTACAAAGCAAAATGCAAAAGCATTTGCCGGTTTTGTTAACAGTAACACAGTGCCAGTAGAGTTGCACCCTCTGGTGGTTAGCTTTGGTAGTGGGCATCAAAGTACATAATTATGTACTATTGCAGAACTTCTTAAAAGCACATATTTTTTAAATAGTCATTATGTAGATAATTGTCAGGGTTATTCAATAAAGAGAGAATGTTCTGGAATTCAATGTAAATTTAAGGCCAATATTGTCAAAATGGAAAACTTCTACAGACGCACTATGCTTTAAAATTCACTATAAATTCCCTACAATTTTCTCTTTACTAAATAAACACGTGCGTATTTCTGTAATCTAACACAATTCAATGTCACGACTGCTTTGAAACATACATCACAATCAAAAAATGAAAAACTCCAAAATATTTTAATTTGTAGGCCCAAGTATTTTCCAATCCTTCTAATAGTAAAATATGTAAATGTAAAACGGTAAATTAGGCAGTGATTGTATTATTTTTGTGAGCTAATAATGATCAGTTTTACTGAGATTATTCGTTACACACAGCCACATAACCATTACTGCAAATCACAAACAATTAAAGGACCACTATAGTGCCAGGAAAACATACTCGTTTTCCTGGCACTATAGTGCCCTGAGGGTGCCCCCACCCTCAGGGTCCCCCTCCTGCCCGGCTCTGGAGAGAGGAAAAGGGGTTAAACTTACCTTTTTCCAGCGCTGGGCGGGGAGCTCTCCTCCTTCTCTCCTCCTCTTCTTCTCCCCGCCGGCTGAATGTGCACGCGCGGCAAGAGCTGCGCGCGCATTCAGCCGGTCGCATAGGAAAGCATTTACAATGCTTTCCTATGGACGCTGGCGTGCTCTCACTGTGAAAATCACAGTAAGAAGCACGCAAGCGCCTCTAGTGGCTGTCAATGAGACAGCCACTAGAGGATTAGGGGGAAGGCTTAACCGATTAATAAACATAGCAGTTTCTCTGAAACTGCTATGTTTATAAAAAAAAAAATGGGTTAACCCTAGAAGGACCTGGCACCCAAACCACTTCATTAAGCTGAAGTGGTCTGGGTGCCTAGAGTGGTCCTTTAAACCAGGTTTACACGACCCATCCTGGTTACTCAGCATTTCAAAGCGTCCTTATTTGCACCTGGATTGCATATTTATAACATTGCTTCTATGCATATATATTGTTTTCAATTTTAACATGACATCACACTGTCACACTCCCCGAACATTGCCACCATTTTCTCTCGGCGCTCCCGTCGAGCTTATTGCCATTTGACACCAGTTGCTTACCTGTGACATACAGTGTCATTCTGTGCAGACGGCATTGTTGCACAACGTTCCTTTGTTAACATGGTTGAGTGATATTGTGTACTGAACTTGGATGGCTTTGTTTGTGGAACTTTGTAGCCAGTCAGCCAGCCAACACTAACCTGAGAACGGTGTCACTAACCCTGGCTAACCATCTTATTATCTTTACTTAACCTGTGCCTCCTGCTCTTCCCAAATACCTGATTGTCTATGCTGAACCTGTGCCACCACTAACATAAGCCAACAAGTATAGAAAGGAGGCCAATTAGAAGCAAAAAGTAACCAGACAGAAATACTGGACATCAATCAAGGTCTGCATGCCTATTATTGCTTCTTCTATCGCACTCTAGGACCCTGGGTGTCTCCATGCACACAGCACACTGCATGTCTCTAAATTACTATGGCAACTGAAACGGCTCAAACAGTTCACACAAACGCACAAGTTATCCACGTATAATTTATCTTGCACTTAAAGTCAATAAACATCTTTACATTCTTTGTAGGTTGAGGTCTTGTTGATTCCAATGTAATTTTGATTTTGTATGGATGTGTTTTCGGACAGTACCAGTCAATCTTCTGTAGAATGATTCGTTTTGTCATCGAATGCACTTGTCCTTTATCCAGCTCATCAAAAAAGTGTAGCGAACAATAGGCAACAGTGACATTTCAAAGTACATGGATGTTATGTCTGTCTACGTATCACTCAATGGCTGAAAACTAGACATATGCTAAATAGAATCTTAATGGACATTTGGTTCTTCCATTAGTGCGACACAACACACAGGGATATAACTCACATAGGAAGTGTATTGGTGTATACGTAAAAGGATTGCACACTACAGTCAAGTGCAGGTTTTCATTTTCACTACACAGTGGTAGAGGGGACTGATAAATTGTATGAGCTAAAGAAAAAAAACTAACCAGTTCTCCAGTATGAACAAAGCATCACACATACTGTATGCGTACTTAATCACTAAATTGCTGCTAAAAACATCATATATTAAATCCAATTTTTTTTTTTAGTTTTTATAACCAAAGACTTTGATCACCCCAGTTCCAGCAGTTCTGATGTAAGAGCACATACCATTGTACACAATTCCCGATTCTGGATATTAAATTGTGTTGATCATACTGAAAAACCCCATAGATTACAATCATGGCTCTCACAACTTTCTCTGGTTTTCTTATAAAACAAGGCTAAATGTGCTCCTTACGCCACAGATTTGCTAGAATACTGTATTTAACACTATGATATGGCAATACCCACTCTTCCATCTTGATGCCAGTTGTATAAGAACAATAACTTAACTCCCGTGTCAACAGTGCTTGCGTAAGACAGTAGACGGTACCTAGAACAGACGTCTCCTCCAATACACGACAATGAAAATCTTTTTACAAATGTCTGATTAGGAGATTCTGCTTATCACCTCTCTGGCAATTTTCAAGTATGCCTCAGCCTGCAGGAAGAAGATTATTTTGTTTTACCCGGAATAACAATTGACAACTTACATTAAACACTTAAATACGTAAATATGGTACAGCTTATTGTACCCGTATTCATTCTCACCTCATTACTATTTGGATCAGACACTACTATAGGCCGTCCCAGGTCACAAGTTTCCCTTATATTAATATGCAGAGGGATATCTCCTGGGAAGACAAAGGAAAGTCATACTTCGTGAAGCATTACATCCATCTTGGACAGTAAGCGCTCGTTTTATTGAGCACACATACTTGTGATCATCAGATGTAAATCACTCGTGACAATAACTGATGAGTTAAGAGCTGATGAAAGTTCAAATATTCTGTAAGACATGTACTGCAGCTATAAAATCTAAAAATGCCTTATAAAGTGGGAATCTTTCACAAACCCTACTACATTAACATTTTGTCCTCTCCTGCACAACTCATATAAAATCAGGACTTTATGGCGAAGAGAATGCAGATTTAACAAGTATAGTACAATATTTGCATCTATGAAATTAGTTAACGGACCACTGATGTTTTGTTTTACAACGAGAAAAGCAGTAAGTCAGCAAAATAGTTCTATTCTACACAGTCATGTAAGACGTGCGATGAATCAATGATCCTACCCAGGACATCCAAGCCCAACGACTCTGCCAGACGCTGTGTACCTTCTGACCCAAAGATATGTGTCTCGTGATGACAATTTGGGCACCGGAATACACTCATGTTTTGTATGAGACCAAGTACCTGCCGTAACAAGGAGACCAGTAAATAATTAGCTAATTGAGAGTTGAAATAAGATTGATTACACTCAACATTAAGTGAGATCCCCTGGAAGGAAATAAAAATGGTCAAAAAATGGAGGTCTGATTTTTGGTGGCTAGAATTATGATGGAGTAAGGCAGAGATATGAATAATTGTGGCCTAATAATAAGAAAGTTGCTGATAAAAGTAATGTTGATCCCACTTATAGTAACTAGGCTTAGGCGTAACACACATTAAGATTACCTTTAGTTTCTCAAGCACCACGGTTATTTACTAACCTACATTAGAACAATTCTCACAATGTGTTTAATAAAAAAACATTTCCTGCTGCCTTTAAAAAGGGTGGCTTCACTAAACACTGGAGTTTCAATTCTTGCTTTACAGAAATACAGCGAATCATTTTATTGCAGATAACATTATATTGACATTTGACTGGTATAAAGTCTTTCTTTACACTCAGAAACATAAATCATCGGAGGATGCCTTGGCACACATCACTAACACTTACAGGAACACTGACTTTCTGAAACATTTCGGCTCCTCTGCGAGCATCCAGCAAAGCGATGTCCTGGGGAGTTGAGACTATCACAGCTCCTGGGAAGATGAATCATTCAGTCACTGAACTCCCACTCACTGCCTGGAATAAGAGCTCTCTCCTACTGTCCTCTGCTGAGATCATTCACTGACCTGAACTCTGGCTCACAAGGGAGAACGCAACAGACCTTTAACTGTTAGTCTGCCAGAGCTTGCAAATGGAGATTTTTAGGTTTGAGTACAAACCTTAAGGCTGGTTTGGGTAACATACAATTCTGTATTAGTGTACACACTTCTAACAAAAAGCCCAGCTGGAGGGCAATGCAGCAATTCATACACTGGCATGTTTAAGGAATCAATGCAGCATTATAGGTCTATAAGACCGTTCTTTCAAGGCCTGTGTAAATATATGTTGTATTTGTATGCAGCTCTACTACTACATGTTCATGGCTTGCTATTTTAGAAATTCCAGCAGTTTGGGGTTAAACTTATCTTGGAAATGGTAACAGCCTAGTCTAAACACAACTAGTCAATCACAGTTTGTAACCGGGAGAGACTTAATGGTATTGGGCTGGGGTTTAAACTTGTTTTTTTACCAGATATCGGGATGTTCTGAGTAATAGACAGCTGAACGTCTCCAGTTCCTGGTGGCATGTCAATCACCAGATAGTCCAACTCTCCCCATTCTACCTGAAACAAGATATTAAGCAGAACACACAGAATGAGCAATGTACCACACTAACTGCATGTACACACTGACAAGATATGTAACAAAGGAAACTGACTGAATTACAGACTAAAGTTATGAAATCCCTCTGAATGGAGTGCCTTTCTTCACAGACTTCTAGACAAGTTGTTGAGCATTGGATATGAACATCAAATCTTATCTAATCCAATTAACAGGTGAAAATAGTATGGCTCAAATTGGTTCTCTCTTTACCCTGCATCAGAACAGACAGAATTAAACCAATGCTGAAATCCTCTGGAAGAACTGGTACCTCAACACCTGTAGGCAGTGAAATTACACTTAATGAAAAAGAAAAGCCAAAGGCATCAATGGACATGTAGTACAGTGACAATATTAATCAATGCAACAGACATTAACATCTTCTACACCTACTCTATGTACCAAACACTCTTACCTGCCTCAGTAGCCGCTCAATTGCAGACATGACCATCAACCCTCGCCACACAATTGGCGCAGTCTCTTCCACCAGGAAGCCCATGGACATGCTGGCAGAGAGAGGAATGTCAATGACAAATTTGCAAAGTCAAACAATATGACCGTATTCTGCTCTGACTCACAGTTTTTATTTACTAGTCGCCCAGTCACATTCCAGAGGATACTCTATGCCTTTAATTTAGTAAATACGGGGGCATATATCTGATACATCCGAATCATTAGTTCACTTTATCTTTTATCTGTCAGTGAGCCAGCATGTGATTTACAGGGACGGAACATTTCTATATATGTCCATGAAAAATTAAACAGTATCTGGCTTGCACAG